ACAACACCTTCCACACCCCCATCTCGGTCCCGTCGTCGACTGGCCCAGACGGACTCCGCCATCCCGGCAACGAAGCTTTTCTTCATTTCATCATGACGGTCCTCTACATATCGCTAAAGCCCATATCCCGTCCAACCCGTAATGACGATGCATGCATGCATGCATACCTGCTCTCGTCCCCCTCGTCGAGCGGTCCCGTGTACTGGACTGGCTGCCGTCTGCCGAATCCCGTCGTCCCCTCTCTTGGCATCCCTGATCTCGCCATGTGTGCCCGCCCATCCCGCCGCGAGGTCCACGAGTTCCTTGCCCGGCACCGAGACGCCATACCCACGGCCTCTCCGCTCCTTCTTGCCCTCACGTCACTCACACCACACTGACCGACTGATCGATCCCGCTGTGTAAGCAACTCTAAAAAAGTGACCTCCCTCGCCCCTCCTCGATTGCTTCCTCCGAGGCACGTCCGGCCCCCTCCCCCCTGGCTCGTGGGCGATGAACCGACTAACGTGCGGCTCGGCGTGCAAGCCAACGGCGCAAGCCACACGCCGTCGCCGCAGCCTGGCCTTCTCGGTGCTTGAGCCGCCTCGCGCAATTTCAAAGGGGAGATATCAAAAAGCAACTCAGTGCAACACCAAGCATCCAATGGCGTTGTCTAGTCTTCACCTCCAGGACTCTGTGTAATATCGCGCCCTCAATGCAAGTCCGCATGGCACTTCATGCAAACTGGACAAGAGAAAAACATCTCATCACCTCGGCCGCTCGTGTTCTCAGGCCCGCATCCGTCCCATAGCGGAACATGCAAACCTCAGCAATACGACCTTCGAGGAGCTTCTTTCGAAACCGTTGAAACCCGTGAACCTCCCTTTCTCGCGTCCGAACCCTGCCCTTCTGTCACCGTCCCCCCCTTCCCCTCCCCTTTCGCACCCTAAACTCCGGGGCGACGCTTGGGGGGTGCAGCAGCAGCAGCAGCCAGGAAGGGGGGTCACGTCAACGTCAAAACAGGTTAAACCACAGACGCTCCGCCCGTCAATCTCCCGCGACAATCCCCAAGCACCCCCTCGTCGGTAGGATCGAAGCGGTCGATGCGGAGAACAGACCATAGCCAAAGGGTAGGAAGCCGACGGCGGTACAGCGGCCGTGGGAAAGAAAAGGACATCAAGAGCCCAAATACCAAGTACCTACTAACCCAGCTCCCCCGGATCCAATAAACCGTAAATGTGCTCCGACTGGGGAGGAGGCCGAAAGCAGTCCCCTGCGCAATAAGCTCTCCAAAACAGCATTCCTGTCAGATTCCTCAAGACATGCGTGTGCGAGTTGTATGTTCTTCAACATGCCAAAAAGGCGGGTTGCATTCGCGGTGGGAATCGATCGTCTCTCGTCGCAAAGGAACCCAGGGACCAAAAAAAGAATTGCGGCAAGGCGACGCTGCTAAGACACCCTTGTGCCATATCCCGTCCCGTAGTTTTGGCGTGCAGGCGACAAGGCAAGGCCCAGACCGTCCTGTCTCTGGCTCCTGTCTCTTGCCTTCCCCAGACCTAGGCACGTAGTCTAACATCTGGGTCAAGCGAACCTGTTCATCGCAGGTATCTGTACCCGGTTTGCAATACATTGATCTCGCGAAAGCTAACGCCACGGAATGAAAAGTGCGTTGGTTGCAGGAGCGAGCGCAAGACCGCAAGATGGAAGAAATGCTATATCTGCGATTGCAATATATCGCACACCGGCATCTCAACGATCCAGCTCCTGAAAGAAAAGAAGGCTGAACCTTCCTCGTTCAGCCCCGGGCTTGTGCAAGGTTCAACCGGGGGTCCCGAACGGCGGACGGCGGCCAGCAAAGGCAGGTAGGCCATTTACTCCGCCGTACCCTATTTTTCGACGTTCATGCGCCGAGGCCGGGACTGAGAGGCTCAGACGTCGTGTTCGTGGCGGTCGCTATATAAATTAAAGCAGTTGTCAGAACAGAATTGCCGGACGTTGGAAAAGGTTCAATTTAACGAGCCGCAAGATGATCGTCGCCGTGGGCGGGGAACTAGCCATTTAACTTTTGCGATACACTACGCGCAGAATCCAGTCGTTCGCACGAATTGGTAAAATACAAAGTTAAAGCTGAGGGGCCGGCGCCGCGGGAGATGATCTTCTGCTTTGCTCCGAAATTACAGCACCGCAATTTGGACGACAGGAAGCTCAATGTGAGTGTGAGCGGGAAAAAAAGAGAGAGTACACACGCACGATCCGCAGAACGGCTTCAACTCTAATTGACTACGTGCGCCGTTGGATTGCGTTATTGTTGATGCTGTTGGCCGTTGCGTGCGAGCGAGCGAGAAATTTAATCTGGGCCGGAGGTTTAACGGAAAACTCTCGTTACCTTAATTGACGGTTGCCGTAATGAAGTGTGTTTCTTTTTGTGGTCCCGAAGTGTTCGCTGTGTCAATCTTGCTGGTGAACGGTGAACTGCTCTGCGGCGGTATCAAGGCATCTCCTACCTATGGTCCCTGGCCCGGTGAAAAACACCACGTACAAACACCGCTGTATCGTTGGAAATTTCCCGCAGGACCAGACTACGAATGCATTCCGTTAAGAAGAGCAACAGGCGGCGCACATGGGCCCTTGCCAATCATCGGAGCTAACGTCGCACGAAGGTGGGAATCGAACGCGCACGTTCCGTTCAATCATTTTTTTTGCTTTGCTCTAATCTCGGGAGCCTCCCCATCTCGGAATGGAGCGATCTCTCTTTCTGGCGAACCGTGGCATGGTTGATGCCAGGTACCTCGAGGTACCTGACCTACCCTACACCTGAATTTGTGCAAACTGCGGTTGTTGCACAAAAACGGTGACATCCCATTCGTCGTCATCCCTTAAAAGCCAAACCACAGCAGACGGCAGCGGGGATTTTTAGTTCGGCCGCTGCAGCGATGTTCGGCGGCTGTTTTGAGACATGGACGCGGCACTCTCGGGATGCGGGAGGACGAACCGCAGACGTCCCGAAGGACGGGCTTGATATGCTTTTTTGGCTTCTTTTTTTAATAGGTGCTTACGACGGCGTGCTTCATAATACTCTTTCTATCGTGAGAATGAATCGCCGAGTGCGCCGTTTGAGGAATGCTATACTGGCAGACCTATTCGGGTAAGGGGGGCCCATGACTTGTTAACTGGCGATGTTTGATGCAAGACGTAGAGTCGCCACGTGAAGTAAGCTCATTGTCGTCGTCGTCCACGACGCAATCCGCACTATCGCTACCGGAATTCAATCTCCTGGGAAGATCCACCGGCTCCGTTGAAGAGGCCTCGCGGAGGCGCGGCGGAGGAGGAGGCAGACAGGGCCGGAGATATCGCGGGTGGGCTGACGAAGACGAAATCTCCGGCAATAGAGATGCCAATGAGAATCTCTGCAATTATTGCACCCAATATCAGCCTCTGGCTAGTTATTCGTCCGGCTGGGCTGTCAAAAGCCGGACAAGCAACGACCATGCAGTGGAGCAAGGCTTGGTTCATCTTCTTTTTCATGGAAGACGACCGAGCCTCCAGAATCCAGGCGTCGAGGGGCGCGGAATTTCCAGCGGTGAGGAGCGCTATGAAGGGGATAGATTAATAGCGACCAAGATTTATGCCATGGGCCCCGTTCAAAGTCGAGCAAGGCGGTTGCTGGTTTTCCACTGGGTTGCCCCTCTCGTCCACCTTTCAGCGCGGCTGAAGGGGGACGACGTTCCCCACTGAAGTACAAGGCCCATGGTGAAGCAGCACAGCAGCGACGCCAGACTGAAAAAAGACCAGACGACAGTTGGACAGGTTCCTCGTGCTGCTGGCCCAGGGGGTTGAGTGACCGGGGGAGGGGGACTCGACGAGGGAGAAGGAAGAGAAGAAAGAGGCGCCAGCACCCAATCGGCTACGGTGAAACAGGCGTGGCGCGGCGGGTCTGGCTGCAGGTGATTGGCTGTGACGGATTGGACATGACAACGGATGAAACATCGACGGGCCTGACAAGTCGTGCAGGCCGCGAGACAGGGCTAGACATAGGCAGGGGGTCATTCATCGTTGTGCTTTATTGCCCATTGATGCAGCAGCAGGTGAGTGAGTGCATTGGACATTGGGAGGCGCCGGTTCCCTGGCGGAGCAGCGAACGGTTCGAGGTGACGACGCCAGTCTCAGAGAGCCGCCCACGCCATCCCATCTGCGCCGCTGGGTTGTGTATTGTTTGCGGTTATGTGTGATATCCCAGATTAGGCATGGCTGGCAGTTGCGATACAGGCATTGGGCGTGTTTGTGTGACTCGGATTCTGGTACACGCCAATATTGACTGACACACTGGAAACCGTACGGACAGTCCACCGATACTCCGTACAGAAACTGGGACGATGAACTACAATTTACGGAGGATACGGAGGATACGGAGGACCTGACTAACCGACATTCGACGAACCATTCATTGGCCCCGGTGGTTATAGACGACCAGCCATAACGTATCGTCAGTCCACCGCTGCGCTGGAGAGATGAAGGAGGGGCACCGTCACCCCCGTCCACGATGCGACGCTGCACGCATGCAAACGTCGCCGCGCCCTCGCTTACAAGCAATAAATCATTTTGCTGTAAAGAGCACATCGGCTACGAACGTACGCAATATCCCAAATGCCCAGCGTTCGTACCGCCGCAATGCCAATACATCGTAATCCAGGGGACCCGAAATAAAGGGCAATCTAATCTGTAGAAATCTTGCGTTTCTCGTGTAATACTCCACGGTCTGGAACCTAGGACCTACACGAGGATATGCGGCTGTCTCGCGCCTTGGCTTGCAGCCTCGGAACTGTATTCTTCCACAACTAGTCCCGTGGCTCCAATCTGATCGGCGCCCGGCACGATCTCGCGCATTCCTGTTGCAAAGGATAGATTGGCTTCCATTCCCAGTCCGGCCCGGGGGTAGGCTCTTCTCAACGGCCCGCCGATTCGGTCTCTCCATCTCCGGAGCTTTAACATCAAACCCGGCTTCTCTTCAACCCGTCCCCTCACCGTCACCGACGACCGTTGAGTGCGAAGTAAATCCCACGAGTAGGAGACCACCGTTTGACGGTTCGAAATCTGGACGTCCGTCACAACGATCCGAACTCTTTCGTGGTAAGAGACCGTACCTGTCACAGATAGGGTGAACCCACGCAGCCGTGACCATTCCGCGGCGCGAGTGCCAGCGCTCGTCTCTATCCGCAACGCAAGCAACGAAGATAGCGCCGCCGCCGCCGCCGTCGTCGTGGCCGTCGTCAGACACCTGCCAAATCCTCGATTTCAGACGAGTTTCTCTTCCCGGCTCGAACATTGAAGCAACCTGCGTTCGTCATCCATCTCCAACACGAACGAACTCCTGTATGTTTTGGAACGCCCCCCCGCTTGCCTGCCGTTAGCAGTGTATAGAAAAAGGGAAAAAAAGCCCACGCGTCTTCGAACATTGCCAAGACCTCTTCTTCCCGGGAAAAATGCTTGTTTTTTTCTCGAAAGGTGAAGGCTTGAACCGCGCGAATCCCTCGACGACCGCGTCGCCCACTTTTCGGTAACCGTTGGTAGGTCTTGGCGGCATTTCTGAATCACGAGGAATTGCGCGTCTGCGCACCGCGCTTGTGTGAGTGGTGAAGAGCAGTAAGCCCCCTAGCAGCATCAACCACACACAGCTCGGAAGTTCCGACGTTTGACGCCGCAAAAGGTGAGCTGTGTTGGGCCGAAGAAACTCCCCCTTGGTGCAACCCCCCACAATCATCCCCCCTCCCGGTTGAGCTTGTTCCAAAATACTGGAGCCAAAAAGTTGGAGTAGGTAGCCAACAACCGTACCTCGCACCTTGCTTGATGTCTTTTGCTGGCGTCGCCCGCATACCGAACAAGCATATGTTTTGGCAGTGGTGAATCTTTCGTCGATCATGTTTTGTGGTCTGATTTGCGCCTGGGTGCGTGGTCTCGAGGTTTCGGAGCGGAGGGTCGTCTGGTTAAAGAGTGGGAAAGTCGTATCCTCTGCCGACGTGTAACCTTGTTTGGTCCATCATCTTGTCCATGAATATGTCACAGCAGTCTTCGGTGACAAATCGCGGGAGCGGACGAAGAGTGCGGCGCCGATCGGAGGAAGAACAGACGCAGAGCAAAGAACGAGCTTCCCAGTCCCTCCGTTGATCCTTGGAGCTCCTCTCCCCTCGGCCAACGCCGTGCGTCGACGGGCCCCGGTTATGTCTTGGTCTGCGATGGGTTATATCAGAGCTATTCTAAGGTATCCGCGTGCGACGCCAGCGCCAAAACCAACCCCAGGCCCGCCGCCCGCCTTGTCGGATGGCAGGATCCGAGGCGCCGATCCCTCGAGTTCGCTTTGATATCATATCGGATTGTTGGGGTTGGTGGTATTATACGCTGGTGATTGGCGATGGCGCGTCCGGTGTTGTGACTTGTTGCTGTTTCAATATTTGAAAAGGCATTCTGAGGCTCGCTTGTTGTTTGCTTAGCATTGCTTAGAGGTTACATATAGTCTCGCTTGCCCATTGTGCCAAGATGATCTTCGTCGAGATTTGTTTTTGATGTGTGTTGGCTGGATGGATCTTGTCATTGCTGATCTGGTGAAGAACGAGATGTGCGTTGCCCATGTGTGACGTCTCGGCGCCTTGGTGATCCTGCCTTGGCTTGCGGGATGACCAATGTGAGATGATTTGAAATGTTTGGTTTTGGCGTCGATGGCACCTCTGGGCGGCGGGATCAAGTTTCCGAGCTCGGTAGTATTCTGCTTGTGGTGATTCGCGAGGACATAGCCATAGTCCTGTGCCGTGGATTGCTTGATGTTTAGCACTAGTGAGGCGTCTCGTCTTCCTCTCTGTTGTGTTATACTATGAACAGAGGTTTCAAGGCCCTTTCTGCGCGAGCAACTGCCTCAGAGAGATGTGCGGCTTGGAAGTACGGTCCGAAGATAGTGAGGGCACGTTGTCCTCGTTCAGACATCACTTCTACCAGCAGGTGATGTTTGTGCCTAAGCATCACCAAGAACGGGCTCGACGATGTGACTAAATGAGTACAAGGAAACCGCGTGCACAATCTGGTTCTTCCCATTTGACGTTGGCCAAATGGTGACGCTAGACTCAGCCCGTTATCGTCGAAAGGACTGCACTTCCTTATCTGTGTTGCTAGGGCATTATGGTCTTGTGCACATCTCCCAAGACATGCGTTGAGAACCTTTTGCTAACGTGGACTACACAGGCTTCTTCTATGTCTTGGTGTTGTGCATCGTCTGTCAGCCGTTCGAGACCCCGTTGGCGTATTGCTTGACGAGAACACGACCTCTGGGACCCTTGGCCCAAAGATCCAGCCCGGCAACCGTCTCGATGAGGTCCTTGATGAGGCAAACAAACTTCTCGACCTCCTATTACTCTGTCCCCCACATGGTCATGAGGAAGGCTCCTTCAAAGTCGACAACACAAAGAAGACATGATGTAATGGGACCGGCGTGAAAGTGCTTGATCACCTGCATGAGATCATGCCAGTGGTATTGAGCACTGGCAAGGCCTCAAGATCCCCAGAAAGTGCCTGCCCCATAGACACTGCTGTTGCAAGCTGGATCGAAGAGGCGATATTACTGTCGAAGTTCAGCGGGCAAACCATCCGAGAAGAAGGTGATGGAGAAAGTACTGTGGAAGTAGGTTTGGTCTTTGCGAAAGCCGACTTGAGGCAACTGCGCCAGCGCAAAACAAACACAATCATCCTTCATCATCTGCCCCGACCTTACGTTGCTTCACACTACGTTGCGTTGCTTATCTAGTTGTATCTAGCTTGAATCCTCTTGATCTTATCCGACCGGACGTCTGTCTTTCTTCCTCTCTCACACACCCACGCACAAACTCGCACTCTCTCCTCCTCACCCTTCCCTCTATCCGCACCAGACATCGACAGACAAGAGTAGATACGATAGCAGTGAAGAGTTTGGATGTGATTGGGAGCCTCGTTCTTCGGCACCGATGCTTCGAATGATTGGGTCATGAGGGGGCCTAATACAATACCTTGACGTGTGAAGTGGTAGGTGAGAACGATGCTGACGAGGGCTAGCAGCTCTATGCAACATGTCTTTGCAACGTCTTCATTGAACACCCAGTTGCTATATCAGGAGTAGTCTTTGAGGGTACTGGCTATGCTAAACCCGACTTTCGGATACCATCATCTTGTTCCCAACATAAGTTAGTGGCCATAGATCTTGCAAAGCTTTAAATTAGGTTGATGAGGGCACACGCTCAACGACAGTTTACATGTGTTCCTGACCTCAACGAAAAGCATGACAGGCTTGGGATCAGGGATTCAAAGCATACTACATCTGACTTGCTTACGGCAATAATACGTCCCATGGAATGACGTTCCTTTTCTCGATCTCATGACCTCGTGATCACGTCTAGACTCTGCGCCCAACGGGTACAGTCTTTTTGCTCTCAAATTAAGCCTGTCAACACGCAGTTGGGGCTCAGGTAACCGAGCAGTCCCTCGAATGATGACCGGAACTGTTCAAAGCTGACCGTCAGTAGCACAGGGAACTTGATACTGATAGGTCTCATCCAGGCGCATTAACATGTTCGTAGCTTGACGCGATATCACCATGCCTATAGAAGGCGTGTCTGCGTTGAGATATGGACGTCTAAGATTTACAACATGACGGCTCTGACTGAAGTCGCAGTATCCCAACCGACGCAGGGAAGAGAGTATGTCACTTGGTTACATCACATCATTCAATTGTGGAAAGGCAGCTGGAAAGGGAGCTGGAAAGGCAGCATATCTCCCCCCTTCTAAGAGATGCGCCATACATCATGTAACGAACGAATAGCTTCACATGTGTCAAGTGAGTGGCCCAGGTATAAGACTCACTTCCTTAAGTTCTGGACGAGGCTAATGTGGATGCGCTTCTGCGGACATGCCGACGTCGTCAGCCGCACCCAAGGCAGCATGCTGTCGCAAGTCAAGCTTGGGATCACCATTTCGGTCGCTTCCAGAGTCATGAGTTCCTTGACGTCGCGGGTTACTGTTCAAACGAGGCTCTTGCTTTTTCAGCTGAGTGGGACAATCCCATGATGACCTTCCAGACCGGTCCAAATGCTATTGACCGGGGCAGGTTCCAGAGTCCTGGGACCCGATAACGAAGGTGCGCGCGCGCTGTCCGACTCAGTTGGAAACAAGCGCCTGGTTGTCGATCAATCAAGCGAGGAAATGCAAGCTGGCGTGATTCACGATATTCGACTCAGTAAAGCGTGAACTCTGCGCTTGGCAATGCGCCAGACAGTTCTTAACTCCGACAGCTTGGCCGTTACTGCCAAGTCAACCCGAGCAGTATCGGCGCCGAGAATGCGTTGATAAAGAGGGTTGCCCGCCCTCCCCGTGGCTCTCCAAGGAATTGGCATCCGTTGCCGAGACGTTGGCATTCCAGTGAGGCATTCTCAGTGGCGCTAGCTCTGGACGAATCGAGATGTCGTCCACCGGCCTCGGTGAGTTTGATGAATCATGTCAAATTTGAGCAAAATAACATTTCTGCAGTCGCTTCCGCCCGCTCGCGGAATGCCTTCGCCGGAGGGACGGCGTCGTCGGGCCAGCACGTTGCCCGGTGCTCTTGCCTGGCATATGGCAACGCTGTCATGACATTGGGTCAGAGTTTGAACTCTCGCGACACGTTACAGCTGACTAAAGCAGGGCGCGTGATCGGTTCCCCCGTGGGCAAAGGTTGACAGCAGCAGCTGCCATGCCTGCCGTAGAACAAGTTGAAACGTGGGCGTGGAAGGTTGGCAAAGGTTATTTTGGCAACTCAATTGAGGTGTGTTTCGTCATTTTTGGTTGGCGAAGGAAGAGTTGTCATCCCTTTGTCATTCGCTCCGAACTCTGCTGGGGCTGAGGTAGGGCAGGCAGGGCTGGTTGTTTGTCGATCAGCCGTTGTCCTGTGCCATGCTGAAGAAGAAGCATGTAGCATGTTGATGGCATTCCAGGTTGGTTGTTGGTATTCTGCCGGAAATTTTCCGGGAATTCGCAAGGTTGGACCAACATGTGCGAGTCCTCATTGGCGGCCGGGTGCGGGAGACAATGGACCCTTTCGGAAGAAAATTCGGGATAGGGGAGAAAGAAAAATAGGGGAGTGACGTGATGGAGTAAAAGTTGGTCGGATTCATGCATCGAGCAGAAAAGGTGGGATGACTTGCGGCTTAAACTCATGCGTTTGTGTTGTTGGTTGTTGCCTCTTCGGAACTCCCGCAGATTGGCGTCGTTCGGCTCGCTACGGTCGGCAGACTGCGGATGAGGTAAGCAGACAATGACGCTGCCAACACTGTGAAATGGGGGTCGATAAGGCTATCGGTATCAGAGATAAGGAGCGCAGTGGGCAAGGTACGTACCTCTGAAGGATAAGGCAGGTGGAGTCCCGCCAAGAGTGGCGCCGTAGGCGGCGAATGAGCGGCGGTGTTGACCGGTGGTGGCCAGTGGTGGTTGCGCATGCTGGGACCATCGCTGGACGCATCGACTTGGAACTGGCCCGTGTCGAGGGTCCGGGCCGTCATCAGTGAGTGGCTGAAATGGACGCCCACCTCAGTACTGCGCAAGATACTGAATGAGGTGAGGTACTTAAGGTACCTTACCTCATGAGCAAGTCCCCGGCGGCCCTCACTAACACGACACACTGAGTGTGGCCACTACAGCAGGCTAAGGCAGCGCTGCAACGGCCAACCACGCACGGCTCGGGCAGGACGGCGCGGACGGACTGATTATGTTTACGCTGACTCTGACTCTCGGAGCTCGTCGCGGAAGACGGCTGTGCACGTCTCATCGGGCCAGCTTGTTGATGATGGTTTAGTGGTGGTGGTGCTGTTGATGCCCAGTGTTATTGTTGTTCCCATCCTCCGTGATGGATGTTAGTGGTTGGCAGGTTGGTGAAGCCTGAGGTACCTGACTGCCGGGCGCATGTTGATTTTCCACTTCAGTTGGAAGGCAGGAGGTATGGTGGTAATGGTACTGTTCTTGCCGTTGGTTGCACCTGCCTGCCGTGACCTGCATCGCTATTGCCTTGTCATTACTGCTGCAGTTGCCCCCAGTGGCTCTTGCTCTATTCCGAGTGTTGCTCTTGCCTTCCATCCATCAAAAGGGTCCGCGATTTGGGCCCGCCTGCCTGACCAAAAAGTAACCTTCTTTCCAGGTTTGCGTGGTGTTTCTGTCTTTCCCCTCATGTGCCTTGCCTTCCCCAAAGGTACCTGACAAGGCACTTACCTTACCTTACTGCACCAACATCTCACCTTCCAACCGCAACCCTCCACGCAGCCCCCGAAAATAAGTTACCGACTGCCGTTCCGTCTGTCTCCTCTTCGGCTCCGTCATATCTCTCCTGCTTGACTCCATTTTACCGGTTTACCTTTTCCTTTTGTTTCTTTTTTTTTTCTTTTTCTTTTTTCTGCATCGTCTGCTTCTTCTTTTTCACTTCTCTTCATTGTCGACTGTTGGTTACCCCCCTCTTCTCGGTCGACTCTTGCCTCTTCCCGGCTTTCATCTCGTCACCGAAATCAAAACCAGACCATACCGTCATCATCAAATCTCCGTCCTCCCGTTCTGGACGCAACCCTGGCCGGTGTTATCTTACCTTATCCCTTGGTACCACCTTCACCACCCACTCTCTGCGACTGCAACTGCGACTACGGGAACCCCAACTCGACCACGCCACCCCCCGTCGACTGACCGCCTGCCTGCCTCGTCCTCGCGTCGCATTGCCTACCGGTGCAGTGCAGCCAGCGACCGTCGACCCTCCACTCCTCACCCAATCTTCCTGCCGCACCGCAACACGCCGCTCCCGCACCCGCGCCCGCCGCACCGCCGCCCTGTGCCTCGCTGCGTTGCCCTGCGTGCTTGCGACCCTGCGACCTGCTTGCTTCACCTAAAGCAACCAAGTCAGCCTTTTTGCGCTCCCGCCCGCCCAAACACTTTGTCAAGTGTCCGGCGCCCGTTTCATCCATACACGACACGCCAGCATTGAGTCTCGGTGTCTTTTGGTCTCTCTGCTTGGGTCTGCTCTATTCAATCGTCTCTTCACTCAAAGACCCCCTGCGGCTGCATCTGCGACTGCGCCTGAACTGAACCGTTCACCTTCTGGGAATCTCTCGGTCCGCAACTGTCAACAGCAGTCTGCAGTCTGTCACTGTGTTTTTTTTTCCCGACTGCCGCCATTCGCTCGGCCATCCATCGATCGACACCACCCATTCTTAACTGCGTCCTCTCGCCAACTCCTCCCTTTCACGGCCCCATTGGACCATTTTCTGCCGCTGCGCACGCGACCGACCGCGTAAAGTGGCTTGGTCAAGCGAAGCGACCCCAGCGCAGCGCTACCGCCACGACTAGACTGGACTGGACCACTCCCTCCCAGTCCCAGACTCTCAGCGAACTGACTGGATCGCTGGGCCGCTACCTACACCTGGACCTGGCCCTGCCCTGACGAATACGGCGGCCTGCCTACCAAAACAGCTGCTCAGCATTGTTGACCCCCCCGGTCTTGGTATCAAGGGTCTCTGAATTATTGGGACTTCATTTCCCCCACCATCGTCAAAGCAGCCCAGGCCAATCTCCCTTCACCTTCCAGTTTTACCTCCCGCCTGACAACCAATTCCCGCCAACCCCGACGACATTCGACGCCTTTCGATTCCAACCTGCCATGACCCTGGAATCGCCGACTTCACCACGAAAAACTTAGCTTTTCGATCTCACTTCAACCATCCAGGCGACCATGTCCGTTTGCGTCGAGCAGTCCATGCACACAAACGACGACGACCACCCCGACGTCACGAATAACGTCTCCCGAGACCGAGACCCCTCCGGTATCGATAGGCGACCGTCGCGAGACGACTACAATGGTAACGCCAACGCTACAGAAGAGTTAACCTCGATCATGACTGCCTCAATCATCACAACAATCCTCAACACCGCTTCCAACCCCGTATCTCCCGGACCCTCCAGTCCTCCTCTCGAACAGGCCAAGAGCAATGACTTCGTGCCCCCGACCCGCCCCAGCAGCACTCCCTTCCTCCACCCCGATCAACGAAATTCGGATTGCTGCTGTCCGATGGCTGAGGACACCGAGGCCTACGGAGGCCCGGGTATCACCACCCATCCCTACTCCCTCGAGACCCCGGAGGCCTCGCCCTCACTGAACCTGAACGATCTTCCCGCCGAGATTCACGAGTGCATCCTTGATCATTTATTCGGATACCGCGTATCCACAACGTCAAAGAGTTCGGTGGGCATGCCGAGCGTGACCAAGAGCTGGGGAACCGCGCTGCGACACTCTCGGCGCAGGGAGTTGTCAGAATTGGCCCTCGTGAGCCCCGTATGGAGAATCCTGATTCAAGAGCGCTTGTATCGCCATATCAAGATCAAGGCGACGGTGGAATCCCTCGAGATGGCCATGATTTACTTCAGCGAGCACGACCACCTTCGTCGCTACGTGAAACACATTGAGATTTGGTTCCCGGTGTTCCAGCCCAAGTACGGACCGCTGGCGCTAAGCACTACCCTCGCCCTCCCAACGGTCACCATGGACGGATTGACGAATGCGACCTACACACTCCCCGCCAACAACTGCAGCCTCGAGGAAGCCTTCTCTTTCGTCTCCCAGGCTCTGCCTGACGTTTGCGTAATGACGATTGAGGGTGGTGAGAGAAAGAAGGCGCCGAAGGTGCAGCATAGCTGGCATAGGCGGCCGGCTGGCTGGCATCTTCCCACCCTCGAATCGGTGCGCACCTTGGTGACCAAGGGCCAGTGGAATCTCATGCGCAGCGACTCCGATTTCGCAGCCATTTTGGGTTCCCTCCCTAATCTGAACGAGTGGCACGGCTCCTACAGCAAGCCCAAGTCCAAGAGCTACCTAAGCATGGCCAGCATTCTTCCCAAGCTGCCGACAAATTTGACGTACCTCAACTTGTGCCTGGAGAGCGACTACAGACGGGAATTGACGTGCCCTCCATTCTACATGAAGGTCTCCAACCAAGTACACTTCTGTACTCGGCTGGCGGATGCGACGCCGGCGCTTGAGCACCTGGCATACACTGGTCGTGTGTGCAAGGCCTTTTTCAACATGGCAGCCATCAGATCCGACCCGAGAACAACCCGGCTCAAGACGATTGACCTGACAGTCAAAAACTGCTGCCGGCCGGTGCCACAGTTCCACGACTCGGGAAGTGGAATTCAAGATATGAACTTTATCCACGCGTTTGAGATGCTTGTCCTTGCAGGCATCCACTCCATGTCAACTCTGAAGGCACTCGACTACCTGCGGATTCGGTTTGTGGACTTGGGTATGTATTACCTCCAACACCATGCACTGGCTTTGTACTGACGACTTCTTAGATTCTCCTGTTCCACCACTGAACCCGTACTTTGTCCTCCGCGACGGCTGGTGCTCAGGCGTATGGAGCGACAATATTCTAGCAGAGTTGAACCGAGTGCGACCAAACGCGAAGTTTGAGCAGTTGAGCGAATCCTTTGGCGAAGTCGGGTTTAACAAGGACGGCCGCATGATCATCAGCCCTGATTACCCGCGCTCGAGAGTCCTCTCACTGAAGCTGGCCAACTATGCCCTGCTGGCTGGTAGCGTCGCCGCATTGCCATAGAAAGCCACACATCTGCGCATGAACGAAAAAGCAAGCAAGGTGTGAAAGACATCATACGCTTCCTTTCTGCTTTTCTTTATATCACGACAACAATGAACTTGCACAGCAACAAGGGGTACCGGAAGGGGCGTTAATTCGAGGTCTCTGCGCCATAGAAGCATCATACCCCTAATTTGATTTGGGAAAACCTGGGTCCATGACTTTTCTTATCTCGACGGAGTTGGGGGCATGACACATGGAACGATGGGTTAATATGGAGTCTGGACGGAAGGGGGGCAAGAATCAGCAAGTTCGTTTTGAGGCATCTTTGTCTTTTGGCTCTGCATCTGGAGGAAACTATTCCTCCTTCACTTGTCCACCGGTCGTATATGGTCAACAAAAATGGTTTCTCTTTCTGCTATTGCGTTCCCTGGTCCGTCTGTGCATGATGTAGTGGCGGCTGTTCCCACGAGCAAGTGGGCCAGTATGCGTGAACTGCTTTCATCATGAGTGATAAGTATCTTTGCAACCTTAAACTGATTTTGTGTATGCTTCAGCGAGAGTCCGTGGCGGGTCGACGGTCCGCGTTTTATAGATGGCTTGGTGGTGTGTCCCTCGAGGTCTCGCTTCCGAGGAAGACGCGGACCAAGATATTACATCCCTCAGAGTCGACGAATCCACGCTAGAATTTTCGTGGACTCATCGCAGAGTGGCAGTAGCTCTTCCAGAGTCTCAAATACGGCGAGGGCTGGGCTCTAGGTCAGCACAGGGTGTAACATGCCCACTGCCGAAGAGACAATAATGCAACCACCGATGCAGTCATGCGGCTCAGCGGTTCAGCCCGTGTCCAGGCTGCACGGTAAACTTGTCGTTCGAATGTTCGTGATGACGTTGCGCTGAGAAAAGGTGAGATGGTTGGGAGCAGATCCCGCTTACCCTCAAGTACATGCACGACATGACGCAATTTGAATCACCACAGTCGCATCAAAGGATCTCACTAAACGAGAGACGAGGGGATTTAAATTGTAAATGTAACACCGTATTGAATAGTTCATCTGCATGTCAGCCTGCTGCCTTGCCTATTGGTGTTCTCAGGGGAACGGAAGATCCTTTCTTACGAAGGCCTGGAAGTGGCAGACTGCGGTACTTAAAAGACACTGCACCCAATCTTTGATTCGAGAAATGTTTTGAATTTCTTAGTATCTATATTGACGACTTACGAGGCGCGAAAAGCTTTGAAGCCAGTCGACGGAAACACCTCAAAATGCGCACCTCAACATTCATCACCACCGCCGCGGCCCTCTTGAGTGGCGTGGCCCAGGGATATCTCCAGACAATCGGACTCCCGCAGACAATCAAGCCCGGCGACGTGTGGGAAGCGCCGGTCACGACGGCCATCATGCAGCCCAGGCAGGACCTCATGATCTGGGGCATCGGCGATACGTCTTCCGTCTACGCGGGAAGCATTAGTCGCGAATTCCACCGAACCAATCTGCGTCGTATGTAACTCTCATGCCGTAGTTATTGTTCTTGCCGAGCATGGAGATGGTTCATCAAATGCGCGTGCTGACCTTTGCCGATGTAGAGGAACTTTCCGGCGGGTACAATGACACGATCCCAAACATCTCGATCCCGGAGTCCCTGAACCTCGCACCTGGAGAGTACGGCATCCAGGCTGTGATCTTGGAGTGGGCCGGAGCTGCGAACTATCCGTCGCTGGAGACTTGGTTCTGGAATGTGACGATTGGAGACGTGACGAGCGAGGAACGGGTGTGGCAGAGCGCTCATGGGGTGAATTCGAAGCAGTGTAATCTTGTGTAGAACCGAAAGACACCTCAGTTACATAAATTGATAGCTAAGTATCGTTTTTCCGCTCAAGGTAGTCAACAAAAAGCCAGGGGTATTTATCATATAGTTCTTGTTGCCGTCGCAGCAGCTCGCGCCGCCGCTTGCACAACTGCTCGTAAAGGTCGTCAACAACGTAATTGACGCCCTTACAGGAGCAAAGCTTGAGCTCCTTGAACATGTCGGATGACCAGGGATAATGTGTCGTTGATAGGCCTTGGCACGAATAGGACTGAAAAATGCTCAGGTGGGCATATGGGTTTTGGTTTTTGACCCAGAGGCCGAAGCGGAAGTTGGGGTTGGCATTGGCGTTGAAGCATCCTTCCCTGTCGCACCACAACACATTTCTCGATAAGCTCGTGTCAATTTCGTACGAATCCGGGTCCATCAAGCGCACTTTGAGGACTCGACTGTAGTCGTTCTCAACCTGGGCGTTACTCCATAGTAAACGACGCCTTTCAACGAACGTCTCTTTCCCTCCTTCCTCTGTTGAAAATGAATACTCGGAGTGGCAGCTCCTGCACGTGAAGTCTTTACGATACTGTTTGAGAGCTTGAGTTCGAACTTTCGTCCAGGTAACATGAGGACAGAGGAGCTGGTCGTAGCTGTGTTGTCCAGGGGATTCGCCGTCGACAGCTGAAAGAGGAACCGTCCAGCTTGGTTCAACCTCGCGCTTGAGTCTCTCATTCGTGGACTGCTCCACAAGAAACACAACCTTTGGAGGCTTTGCTCCGTGAACTCCATCGAAGCATTGTTTGCACTCGACAAAGACAAAGCCGTCGGGCTTGGGATTGTGTCTGGCCTCGACCCAGTGGCTGACATGGCCCCATGTGAAAGAAACATGAGAGCACAGCCGCACGCGTCCTTCCCAGAGGATACAGCGCCTCCACTTCCGCCTGTGAAGCTTGAAGAGCTGCTCCCTGGAGAACCACAGCCTTTGGTGATCCTCTCCGCAGCCAGAGCACCTCAGGTTCTCCTCGAAGCGAGCCAGGTGGAGCTCTAATTCCGTTCTGTCTGGGATACGCTGCAGACATGGTTGGCAGAGATTCGCATGGCTCGCTTGGAAGAGGAAGTGCGGTGCTCTGGTCGCAGACATGAGCACCAAACGTAGCAGCTTAAATTGCACTTCCTGCTGGCAGGTACAACCCTCGTGTCCTGAAAAGTGGAAGCGGTACGGTGGCCTGTCGCTTCTGAACTTCGAGAAGCGCTTCTCTCCAAAGAGTCTGAAGAACAAATGGGATACGTGTCGGATAAAATATAGGTCGGCTTCTCGCATTTGATACATGATATCGGCGATGACTTCCTCGGGAAGAGCACAGAGGCGGCTCTGTACCCTATTTTGGTGCTCCCGATCGAGCACCGCCGTCATGAGGCTCGACTCCTTCGTGCTGGTAGTAGTCATTTGTGCGGCGGATATGGCGAGAATGAATGTTCAGCGTAAATTGATTGGAGAGCGTCTGGTTCATGCTTTATTAGTTGAGGCGTTGTTCTCAATGACTCAAACCGGTGACTCCGATGGCGTCCGAGGACGAAGAGGTTGTCCATTTTCCGCAGACGCTATGGACAGCGTCGAGAAGCTTTTCTCAGCCTACAAAATTTCCAAAACCTTCCTCCTTGCTCTTCTAGACTTGGTTTCGTCGCTGTTGTTCACTCGAACGACGTGTGCCTTCAGCTCTGATAAAAAAGAAATCAAACCTGCAGTCACTTGGCGAGGCGATAAGAAGCAACCAGTTGCCAGGACTTCTGGCTGTCCCAACCAGGTCGTTAGTAGGGCTGCGTGATGAGCACGCGGCGACACCAGGGACTCGAAGTACTGGCAACTGGTTCCTAGCATCTCGTTTGCCAGGTCCCAGAAGCCAGCTGCCAGATGATGCAGCTGTCTCAGTACCGCTTTTGTAGACACTTCTTGCCCTTTACAGCCTACTAGAATCATACAATACGCCTACATGCAGATAGCTTGAAAGGGCCAGATAGGGCAAATTACCGGCTAAAATACTGATACGTCATTTTCTTCCCGATGGCTGGGGCGGATTCGGGCCTAAGGTTTGCGCTTGGAAGGAGGGATTCGAGGTCTCGGGTATTCCTTCGCTGACGTGATATGCTCATCAGGGTCGCCGTGACTGAGAGCCGTCGTGTTTGCAAGACCAGTTATTTCCTTTCTATGGTTACCGTAATCGAGGTTTCTGATTCTGCCCTCGTAACAACAGCTTGACTGTTCAGGCACACAGATCAAACTTCACTTCTGGGAGTGGATGTAATTTCAGGTCAATTAGGTTCAAAAACTTCTCGTCAATTGAAAAGAAGATCCCAATGTTTAGCAAGTTCGGACTCCTGATACCTGCGTAGACCCTGTCGTATAGACCTGACAAGTTCAGATTCCTGAAGATGTGACGTTTAAGGCCTATCTTTGACCAAAACCTTCCGGCTATAAGCGTAGGCACTCATAAAACCTCATATTCTGCTCTCATAAAGCCGTCAGAATATCGCCACCAGGTCTTGTTGTCAAAATGTCCCCCCTGAATAGCTTAGCCCACCTGGGCACTCGATGTTTGGTCTTCGACAGAACATACAACATGCAACCTCTCAAATCTCCCAGTGATTATAACGTAAATGTTTTCTTAGAATGATATGAGCAGAGCAAAAGCTTGAAGAAGCTCACAGTCTCCTAGGAAATGCCAACTTTGAACTTCAACTCTTGTCCGTCAAATTTGTGTGCTTTCGTCTAATTACAACTGCGCCCGAAGGACAGCATATGGAGTGGCAACACAAGCCATCGCCTCGTCAATAACCTCACTTTTCATTCGTCTGGCTGTGGGCATTCAAAATGAGGAGGCCCAATAGCGCAGCTGCAAAGTTTGTCTTTTGCTGACCAGTCCAAGTTAGACTTTCTATATCTTCGCAAAGTTCTTCGTAGTTCGTCACACGAGTATGTGTTAGAAGAATTGCATCGACTACAACGAGAAATGGAAGTTAGCAAATGTTCTACAGCTAAAGGGAGGGACGACCAAACGTACTTGGGTTCTAAAGGGCGGTAAATGAATTTTTTATAGGATTTGCTCTTATCAAGGATGTTCCTGAAGTCACCCTGAGCGTTGTAACACCCTTTGGTGTCGCACCAGAGGACATGCTTTGAGAAGTTGTGTGTTTGGTATGACTCTGGATCTAGTAAGAGCGATTTAGAAGGAGGTTCGAGATCATCGTAGGTTTCTATCTCCTGAGATGCCTGAATTCTTTGAGGTCTCCAAAGAATTCGCCATCCCTGGATAAGCGTCTCTTCTCCCGACTCTGCTTTGGTCCATGAATACTGGAAGCTGCAGATAGAGCACTCCAATAATCCCGGAAGCTGACCTGGTACGATATGCCTCAGGATCTCTGTCCAGGTGACATGCCGGCAAAGCATGTTGTCGTATATGCGTCGCCTGGAAGAGCAGCTCTCGATAAGAGAAGCGGGGAGTCTCCAACTCATTTCGATCTTGTATCGATTTTCCTCCTTGCCACGTTTCGTCTTTGTAACCTCGGCGAAAGCCCTCACCGCCGGGTTTTGTGCACCACTGACTCCAGCGAGGCACTGGTGGCATTCGAATATGCTCCCGCCATGGGGGAGATTGCGTCTGCGGGATTTCCAGTGGTTGATATCCGTCCATCTGAAAGAGAGATGGGAACACAGTCGGATACGTCCTTCCCAAAGAATACACCGCCTTGAGCCCTCGGGCTGTTCATGTGGCTTCTCATGAGAAAACAACATCGCCTTATGGTTCGTCTTACAAACGGAGCACCAGACGTCTTTTGTATAGTCAGCTATCAGCTCAGCCAGCTGATTTTCTTCCGGGATTTGCTGCGAGCATGGCTGGCAGAGAGATTGACGCCGCAGAGTGAGCGCAACTTTCTCGCTACAGTTACACCATTTCGAAAACTTGTCGTACGGAATCTCAAGCGGGTTTTCGCCGATAGGGGGGTGGATTTTCCAGACGTACGCGTTAAAGACTGGCTGAGAGTGACTGACTACGTGTCTGTTGTCGTTGTAACGGTACCTGTTGTAAAAATTGCTTGCGGAATCAGATTCTTTGGGAAAGCGGAGTTCTCGAAAAGGGATTGCCCCAGAGAGCCGGAAGAAGAGATGGGACACTTGGCGGGTGAGATAGAGCTCGGTAAGTCGCATGCAAGACATGATTTCTAGGACAAGTTCCTCGGGAAGAGCGCAGATGCGGCTCTGCAATCTGTTCCGGTGCTCACGATCAAATACCGTCATCTCGAGACCGTCGGCGGGCGCTGACTGACGATTCTCGGCGTGCGGTTGCTCCATGCTGATAGGCGTCATTTCTGCGGTGGGTGATTGCGAGAAGAAATCCGGTGCATGCGCTATGGGAAGCGTCATTCATAATGTTTTCACCGTACGGCGTTCTTTTTCAATGACTCATATTCAAGCCGAACCTTGGAATATCAGCGCAGCCGAGGACCAAAAGGTTGTTCATTCTTCCAAGACGCTAGTAGCAAATCAGCAACCTTTGTCAGTAATTCCTGATTGGACTGCTCTCTGTCGCTGTGACTATGGACTGTCTGGAAGGCCCTCCTCATTGCTCTTATGAACTTTATTTTCTGGCTTTGATGAACACGAACGAAATCTGCCTCTTCCGCTGATGAGAACTCCAGGCCTGCAGATATTCGACGGGACGACACGAAGCCCAGGCTAAGGTTTGAGTCCAGGAGGGTCATCAGTTAGAAAGAGGGAACCAAGGCATTGGATATCCCTTCGCTGACTTTAAACGGCCATCAGGGTCGCCTTGGCTACAAAGGGAACAGCCGTCGTGTAGCCGAGTCGATTAGATCAGTGCCAATTAACTGTCCCGGCAGGAAATCCATTTACATGTGTGAGTTCCGTAGTAACAATCTGTGTACTGCTTGTTTCTGCTCAAAATTTCTCCATGCGATCTTGATAGCTCTTTTTTCTGCGTGTGAACGGCTGTGGCTGGCTGGTGGCGAACAGGTACGCCCAACGCTGTAGCTGAAGCTGACGAGAAACACCTCCTCATTTTTCCCATCAGCTTTAGGGTCTGATATCCTAGAATTCGACCCATTGAAGATGGGTACTGTCGTTGCCAAAAACAATTGGTGGCTCCCCACTCACGTCATTCCGCTTTCGCCACTGCAAACGTTAGGAACGTACGGCTTCATCGCGTGTGAGACATCTAGCAGCTTGGCACAGAAGCCCTCCGATCGCCAGTGAGCGTGGAGGCTTCCAGGGACGTCCCGAACGTTGGTACCCGCAATCCTCGATTCCTAATCGGTGTTCTTTCTCCGTCCTGCGTGTTGCGATTGAGCGTCTGGCATGTGCTCTACGACACTTGTTCCGGTGGAAGGAGCTTCATCCGCAAGACTTTGGCAGGTTGGCACCTCTGTCGTTGAGAATATGTATGAAGAGTAGAAGATTTTCAAAAGCCGTTGAAGGGAAACACGCAATGGACGAACCCTCAGTCATCTTCTGCTGACTTTTGGCGATCAAGGCCCATCCAGTTTCTTGGCCAAGACGCGGCAGATCTATCATGGAAGATTCCACGGGGATCTACATTGCCATGTCGGGGGCTAGAGAAATGCTAGTCCCGCAATTCTGTGGCGTTTCGGTCGGTCTTCTCAACGCGGAAGTGAGACAACCATTGCTCTGGGTTCTTCCTGCAAGCATTCTTGGGCTAGGTGACGCGAGAACGGCGCCCGTCGGCTAGAACCGCCATAATAGCTTCATTCTTAGACCCATTCCGAACTTCAGATTCTGATTGGTAGGGAACCGCGAGATGAGTGAGAATCAATTCCCACTGTCTGAGTCTTTCTGCAGCTGAGGTCTACCCAGACAGGAAGCATCAACTGATGCTGCCCCGCGGATCGAAAAGCTAGACATGTTTTCGGTTTTCACCGTATTGAAATATATCACGGGGAAGAATGTGGCTTGTGAGTGGCATTGACGTTTTCACAAAACTGAATCGTATCTTGCCGGATAAGGAAACTTCGCACTTCAGCTCCGGCAACTTCAGCTACACAACGTGCTTGGGCTGAATCAAACTAGACAGGACACGCATGTCTCGAGGCAAAATGAAAAACAAAATCTTATCTCATATGATCAGCTCCTCCTGGCAAGCCAAAATGTGGAAAGCTGAACCAGAACTCACGCTGCTAACGAGTTCCTGTCAATGAACGCCACAACCCTGCAGTATAAGATCGGAAACCGGCAAACTGATTGAGCCAAGTATCATCAGAAAACACCCACGCTGCGATTAACTCCTACACATAAAATGCTCGTCGACTTCGCGTTCAAGATCATCTCCATCCCATTCATCCCCTTCAAGATACTCAGAAATCATCTTCCACATCCTTCTTTGGCTCCTTCCAAACCGCAGAACGGTCCGGCCGCAAAGAATCTCTCCGCTTCAACCTCAAAGCCCACCAGGATGTACGTCTATTTGGGCAAGCTTAACTGGAAGGGTACTGCGGTGGCCGAAGACGAGACGTTTATCGTCATCTTGCCCAATGGTCCTGTTCGCACCGGCGACACTGCCTACGTCTTCTTTCAGTGGACACACGACGAATTTGGGGTCCCGAAGGCCAACTGGTTCCAGACCATCTTCATCGACAAGGTTTCCAAGAACGACAACGGAGATGATGTCTTCACTCTAGAGCATCCCAAGTTCTCGTGGAAGATCACCAGCAAGCAAATCTACGAGAAAATCGACGTCACCATGTCTGGTACTGGATCTTCGAAGACCTCGACGACTCTTGAGCGGATCTGGGGAACCCATTCCCACGGTGGTAAGGCAAACGATACGATCCGCGTCTGGACTGGCAAGATCAACTGGTCTACCTTCGCCAAAAACGAGATGGCAACTTTCATTGCCCCTGAGGGTTTCGGCGAAGGTAGACCCATAGTTTCTCTTTGGCAATGGACGAAGAGCTATGCTGGGAAAGCCAAAGATCCTTCTCTCCATTGCGAATACCAGAAGATTCAGACCGAGAACGACGACATTGTCAGGTTTACATACAGTTCATACTACGACCTGGATTGCACTTTCAACCGGCAAACCAGCAAACTTTTTGTTCGCATGAAATCACCTCAAGAGAGTTCCGCCAAGGACCTCGGCGACTTTGCCCTCGCTGCTATGATAGATCGCCACTCCCAGTAAGGTTCGCCAGTTCTCATGAATGCGCAATACTGACAACTTTGATTCAGCAACTTCAACCCGCCGGAGTCCACCCCAAACAAGGCTGAGACCGAGTTCAGGGTCCCTCAGCCTCAGCCTTCGCTTCCTCACATTCTCACGCCGATGCCATTCCCTAGCACTCTATTCGAAACATTGACGCACACGGCTGCTTTCATTAACCAAGCCGGATATCTGGCCAAATACGCTGAGGAGGTATGTGGCGATGTGTCACTGGGCGAAGCCTAGATATGCTAACTTGCCGTAGTCGTTCAACACTATGGACGCCGAGTTCCACCTGCGCGAGCAACGCCTTGACACTGCCAAGGGAAAGATCAGGGACCTCAAAGAGCACGTTAAAACATTGGAAGGCAAAGTTGCTGAGGGAGAAAGCAAGATTAACACGTTGGAGCAGAGTCTCAAAGACGCTGTGAAAGCGGCCCGTGACAGAGAAGTGGAGCTACAAAAGGAGATCGCGCAGATAATCAAGCAAGGAAAGGCCCATGACGTCAAGGATCACCATCTCATCAACAAACTGGAGAAGCAACTTAGTGATCTCCACGCCAGAGCCTCCGACCTCCAGGTCAAACTCGGCACCGCCAGATCTGAGCTTTCGGCTACCGAAGCTCTTCTTGCTGCGGAAAAGAAGCAAAAGGGAGAGCTGGAAGCTAAGAATCGTGCCCTTGAAGCTCAACAGGCTCACTCAGAGGAAGAGCTTAGGAGACTGAGAGCTCAGAACAGCCAACTCGCCTTGGAGAAGGATAGTCTTAACCAGAAACTTTCGGACCTCCAGAGTCAACTCAGTCGTGCTGCAGACGTTCTGCAGACTACAGAGTTAGACAGAGACTCAAAGAACCTGGCTCTCAAGAAGGCAGAAGAGGAGAGAGACCAAGCTCGATCTGACCTTGCGAAAAAGACTTTGGCTCTGGAGGGCGCTGAACGAGAGGCCGCCTCAGCTTGGAAGGAGTACCAGGATGCACTCCACGCGAAAGATTTGATGCGAAGGGAGAGAGATGATGCAGTCAAACTTATCAGACTCAAGGAAAAGGAGGAGCAAGATCACGAGAAAGAGGATAAGAAACGCCAGGAGGACGAGGCGGATTATCGTAAGAAACATGAAGAAGAGGATGCGAATTATCGCAAGAAACATGAAGAGGAGGATGCGAATTATCGCAAGAAACGTGAAGAAGAGGAGGCCGACTATCGCAAGAAGCATGAAGAGGATGATGGCAAGAAGAACGCGTTATACGAGAAGACCAAGAAGGACTATACCGACACCAAGAAGGAATATGACGACCACCTCGCCCAAGACGACAAAGACTATAACGAGAGAGTCGCGTTCGAAGCAAACCAAAGAAGAAGGAACAGAGGTCCTGTAGCGGCCTGAAGATGAGGCTCTGCCTAGGTTTCTTTTGTGTTGGGTTTTCTTGTCGCACGGCCGCGCAATTGGATTGTATCGTCTCACAACACGCTCCCTAAACACTGTTTCTAATTGAGCATTTGCGGCTCCGGGATCATAGTCCCATAAGCACTAATACACAACTAATTTCGCGCAAGTCTTTTTGGCCGTCGTTGCCAAAGTTTGATAGTAAAGTAAGATCTCTCCGTGTGATCATGACTGGATCACTCATATTCTCTTTGGTTGCGTCTGTTTCTGCAGTATCGCGTGAGACGAAGTTACACCCTCTACCGTTGCTACCTATGTTTAAAGTCCGATGGGCTTATTTGCTATGGCCACACTCTGACATTTATCTCTTGACTTTATCTACATTATCTATGCATAATAGAAATACCTTGCGCAAAGATACTCGCTCATTGATGATGGAATGAAATCATTGTCAAAAGGAATACTTGAATTCTAGGCTGGGAATTTGTCACTTATCATAACCTTTATCCTGATCTTTATCAATCACGACGCTAGTTGAAAGGTGAATACAAAATACATTCACTCTATATGAAATTTGTTTTGGTTGCAACTGTAAAATTAGGTTCACGAAGTGCCTCTGATGTGCTGAAGTCAGATGGCCTTCAAGGCCAAGTCAATTTATGTAAGAGATACGTCAAGTACTCGCTAGATATACAAAGAAATTTGTTAAAACATGCTGACGACAGGTAATCCCTCGCCCATTTAGCAGCTGTTCTTGATACCGCTAGCGTACATGGCAAACGTGTCAGCGTTGTTGAGCGACTGAGACGCGCTGATGGTGTCGACGCAGCCCTCGTATCCGTAGCAAACATCGTCAGTGGCGCCGATTTCAGACAAGTGAGTAGCCTCGTGGATCATGAGGTAAGCCAGGTCCATGCCGCGGCAACCGGCGCCAGAAACAGGGACCTCGAAAGAGTTCTCGCAAAGGACAATATAGCCGTCGAGGCCGGGCTGAGAAAGCTTGTTAGTATTCGCGCCATTAAGGAAGAAAAGTTCAAGGTGACTTGCCTGAGCGTAAGCAGCAGCGTTGGCGCAGAAGTTGCCAACATCGGAGCAGTACATCTTGGCATCCGCAGTCGAGCTGCCGAGATAGTCGGCGACCTTGCCAAGGACATCAGCAGCCTTGGTGCCCGACGACTTCGAACGGAAGTACTGCTCCACGCGGGTACCTGCCTTGGCGGCCGTCTGCGCAGCGGCGGCAAGCTTCTGGCCCTCGGCAAGGCCCTTGATAACGGCCGTCTTCTTGCTTCCGGTGCAGTCGTTCTGGACGTTGGCGCGCTTAGCAGCCAGGCTCTGGTGGAACGCGGCGTGCACCTCAGCAGCCTTTACTCCATCGACCTTGGCGGTGAGGACGCCCGAATCGTAGACAATCTGGCCGGCAATGTCGTTGCTTCCCTCCTTGGCGTAACGGAGAGATCCGACGCTCGAAACGTTGAACTCGCCGCCGGTACTCAGGTCGTGTACCTTGGCGGGATCCCACTGGACTTCGACCTTCTCACCAGCACCAATTGTCTTAAAGGCAGAGTCGGGGAGGTTCGTGTCGCGGACATAGACGCGGATGCCGTTGAAAGCAACTCTGTTGACTGTTGGATTCATTAGAGAGGACCATCCTAGCAACCAACTTATATGAAAAGCGCCATAACAAAATCTAGTACTTACCACCTTCAGTAGAGGCGGTCGTGAATTGAGCCCTCTCGACGGGAGTGTCGTCGAGAATAGAACCGGTCTTGAGAACTCGCAGAGGGCTGCTACCGGTGTTGGTGATGGTGGCCTTCAGTTCGCTGTTGCCGACCTGCTCAATCTTGACATCAAGAGGGCTTGCGTCTCGGCGAGCAAGGTTGATAGCAGCGCCATTAGCAAGGGCTGCAAGGCAGGAAACAACAGTGGCGGCCTTCATTTTGGCTAAGGGATGTGGAAGAAACGAACGTAAGAACGAATGAATAAATGAATGAATGAATGAGCGGATGAATGAATTATCTTCCGGACTTGGTCGGTAGCAGCTCAGCTGTTGAATTGTGACTAGAATATGCTCCCTTCGTCAGCGGAAGAGCACGACTTTATTACTTCACATCCTCGTGAAGGAGCAACCCGCCGGCCCCGCTGTGGGAGGCTGCATTCAGCCTGGACCGAAACATGAGTCGTATCGTGGAGAATGAAATCTCAAGGTGTAGATGCTTTTTTCCGCCACTGAAAACGAGCAATTTTGGGATGGGGCTTGAAGACAGCAACTTTTCCGACACGTTCGTCGGGAGCAACTGAGGCTGATGGACAGCGATCTGGGAACAGGGGTCGAATCACAATTGTCTGTGCCTTTGAATTCCAGAGAGGCGGCACTTTGGCCAACACTGACTAGTAAGCATATTGGAGGATTGAATAGCACAGTCACAAGTTGGTCCCGGCCCCTCTCCACGGAAGATTATGGTTGTTCTGAATTGTCGATCACAACGATTGATGGTGGGGGAGTTGCCTGGTTTGTAATAAGTTATTGAAGCCGTGTGTTGATTTAAATTCTGTCTTCTAATTCGCTGTTTGTTTTCACAGCCGTGCACCACCAATCAGAAAATGTCTTGGCTTTCTTGGCCGACTTGGCACAAGTGAGAAGTTGATTCAAGGGGTTACCGACTTACCCTTTAGCGAGGCATGGCAAGGCGAAAGATTCTAGACTGGTCTCTTTGAAATGAACTGGCCTCATCAAGAATTAGCACAAGCTTGCCCCGCACGTGTCGCAAGTTTTAATATTCTACAAACGTCGCTTAAACTTGCCGCTTGCTCAGTTGCCTCAAGTTGCGCCTCTCATATATGGATTTCTCGTATTCCTCAGCCTGTCAGTTACTCAACAACGAACCACAAACACATCATTAAGGAGTTGCAGCCCCTTGAAGATTCGTAAAGCGAGAGTGAACAATACGACGGCCTTCTTGTAACGGCAACTTTTCCCGCTTTCAATGGCAACATTTCCTTCTTAGCCTTACAACGGCAACTTGCCTTTCTCATCTACCTGCATATATCCAGTCTTAGAGTTGAAGGGGCCCCCAGAAGGTCCGTCACAAATCTTGCCGCTCAACTCACTCAACATTCAACCGCAGAAAAAGCATTCGCATCAGACCAGTCTGTTACCAGCCAGACACGGACAGAGCTATTACACATGATCGCCCAGCAGCGCAGCCGTGGACGTTTATCGCTCCCAACCGCCTTAGCTATAGGCGCTTTCATTGTCATTTCTCTATACTTCTTCTCGGCCCAACCAACGCCCACGATGGTCGACTCCGAGTCGTCGTCCTTTCCCGATCTGCATCTGAGCCTCTCCCAGACCGTCGCCTCGAAAGCCCCCAGCGTCTCAGTGTCAGTCAAGAACACTAGTCCTGACACTCCCGTGACGATTCTGAAGTGGAGTTCTCCCCTTGATGAGGCCGCTCTTGGCTTGGGTCTAGTGTCTATCACGCCCGCCGGGGCGTCAGAGCCTATCCACATCGACGCCGTCAGACTTACCCGCAAGATGCCACCAAATGCCGAGTCCCTAGTAACGTTGCTTCCTGGTGAGAGTGTAAGCAATGTCATCGAGCTACGCGAGCCGAGGGTTTCAAAAGATGTGTGGAAGGCAGGCCACGCGAAAGTACTGATGACAGGGAGGTGGATGGCCGTTTGGCCCGGACTGACTACGAAAGAATTGTTGCAGCAGCCGGAGAAGCTGCAGTCTGTTGGTGCTGGCGCTGGTGGTTCGTTGACAGGGGATTGGAAGACTGAGGCTGTGGAGGTCGGTCAGTAGCGGACTCGATTTCCGAACTGCAGTTCGCTCAATAAAGTTGATTGACCAACTTCCATTTTGTCCGTTTGTGTTTTCACCGTGTTACTTTTATCAAGATTGAGGCTTGTTGTGACTTGCGCCTGTCGAGCTCAAGTCCAGGTTTGAAAAGTTATCTCAAATTCCAGGTTAGTTCCCAGAAGCTCCTCAGTAGATGAACTTCCATAGTACACCTAGTATGGAAGATCTAGTCGGGGACAATGCTCAGTGTCATGCTTTTAGCTACCAAGGAAAGGTGTCATGGAGAACGTTGAACTTTTCCCAAAGCAGAGTTTGGTTTTTCTTTTCTGCGTCCCCGATTGTCCCGTGTCCTATCTCCTGGCGTGGAAGGTGTTTTTTTCGCTCATGCAGAGCTTTCCGTGTTGAGGATCCTGATCCGCAAGGCAGCAGCGCCTCACGATACTCTCGAAGAAGCTGAATGATAATGGCGAACGGGATATTGCAAATCTCTATAGCCTGCGAGCTTCAACAGAACCGATACCATGCAGGGGAATGGCGAAAAAGAGCTATACCTACTTCTTGTCTCGCGGGTTTGTCATGAGTCAAGCTGAGGAGGTGGTGAAGAACGCCGGACTGGAACTAGATTTTTGGAACTTCGTCAGTTTGAGTTAAATAGCACAGCCATTTGTTTTTTAACACATTGCTTCTCTTCATTGAAATGATTAAGTAAGAAATATCCCTGGGCTTTGTACGTAAAGTCAAGACTGGTACTTGTCCAACTTAGACACCATGCTAGTGGTTGACCGTTGACGGCTTTAGCGTCATCACGTCTGCATGAAACTCCCCTAAAGACAGTCCATATCCCGAAACAAGACTCTGATGTATTCCGAAACATATTCATGTGAACAGCTATAAAAGCTCCCTAGGGTCACAGAAACCAGAATCGAGTTCAACAATTTGACTACGGTGAAGGCTGATGGGTTGAGCTTGATGTACTTTGTTTAGAGGAAAACATGCAAATGACTTAAAGAGATACTTCAGTCCCGATCTCAGCTGGTAAGTATTGGTACATTTCTTTGAATATGATGAACAGTCTGCTCGTATGTAGTGAATAAATCGCAAACAACGATGAGAAATAGTAGAGAGTCAGTTAACAGGTCCATCGCCTGGGAATTCGAACCATCTCCCGTCAGAGAGAGAGCAAAGTTCTTCCGAAGATGGTTTCGCATAATCCTGCTAAACGTGACGTTGTGAAAGTGACCATAGTTTCCGGAATGTACGAATTGTGACACGGATTATCTGTCTAATACTCTAGTTTCACCTGTTGTCTACATTGACTACGGTGAATCCACTCAAAATGACGAAACAAAATGAAAGCTGCCCGCTTCACGAAATAGTTCAAGGCAACCACTCTTGGCAACTCATGGCTCGTTGGAAAGATACTGCACTACCTGACTAGTTACCACCCAAAGGCATCGACGCGGCCGAAGCCGCTATTGCTTGGGTTTTGTACAATCACAAAGCTATCTGAGCTTATATACTATATATCGCTTCTATGCCCGTTGGGCTTCAAGTCTCGGGCCTTCTTCCACGACGCAGCGTCTCAACCGCCACTGTCGCAGCGCATCAATCGAGGCTTCAACATCGTTTAAATCGCTCGGAAAGCTTATAAAAGATGTTGGGTAAAATGAGATCCCTGTTTCTTCCTCACACAAATGGATCACCACCCTCAAATGTAGTCGAATGGGTCTGGCGCCGCCACACAAGGCTCACTGGTCCGGTCAGCGAACGGCGATCACCACGAATCACGAGGAGCTTACCAAATGCAATCCTGGGATTCAAAATGGGACAATCATAGACATCTCTTTCGTCTGAAAGAGCTACAGTACACCATACATGAGTAATTCGGAGAAAGCAGAGGTTCATAGTGTGACTATACAACCCCACAACAGCGACCACGCTATTCTTACTTCAGAAAGCTTGCACCGAAACAAGATTCAAGCTTGTGTAAACTTTTTAGAGATTACGACTGGCAATTATCTCTCTTGTTGAGATGCTGTGTGGGTGTTTGGGATCATTTACATCGATGTAGTGCAATCACCACCATCGATATGAGGTGTCCGCAAGTGGCAGAGTAGCAGATCTCTTCTCAGCACTTACTATGGTATCAAGCAAGAAATAATTGACCTGAATTTGAACATAAAAGCCGAGCTTCCTCAGTTTGACGGTAGACAAGCCAATGCTGCCCATTGTTGCCTCAGATAGAAACAGGCTACTCAAGGCAATCGTCATGAGAATCTCGTCACTATCTATTGAGGGGGATTCCAAAGCTCGTCAAGAGTAAGGAGAAACTCATTGGTGTCTCCCCAGCATCGAGTATGCGCTTGGAATACACCCGGAGGCGAAGACGATAGACCCACGCCCGCGAGTCCCAACCAAAGACAGAGAGCGGCCGCCAACTTCAGTCAAAACTTACATGGCATGATCTCTACCTCGTTAACAGCCAGACAAATTCTCGGAAAGAATCAATTCTGGTACGTCTTCGTTGGAGCCGAAGACATGCCTTGCGCGTGGGCAACCACCGGCGCTGGAGGAGAAGAGATGCCTCAATCCCAGGCGCGCATATAAAGAAAGCTGGACGAAGTGTTTGGTAGAGCATCAAGCCAATGGCTTCTTCGCATTCTCATGGCATTGAGTTCTGTAAAACTGTCGTTATGAGATGGTGAAAACCTCGATGCAAGCGAACTCAACCAGGATATGTTCCACACGACGCAATGCATAGGAGACTTCTCCTCCTCTTTTGAATATCGTGGGATGATTTTCTTGAATACGTATAGGAAGGCGCAGGACAATGCTGAAGGGGCAGGAGCCGCGCAGTGTCGACCATCTGACACCGCTCATCATGAGCATGCCCTTGAGTCCTCCATCGAGATGTAGAGTTTGTGGAGTTAGCAATGAGGCTGGAATATTCGCCGAGATTCATCAAAGCATCCAACTTGAACTGTATTTCACGAAGGGTGGCTTATTTTATGCCCAATTCCCACACGCAGCCTTCAAGTCCTCTGAGCAAGCCGACATCTTCTGCAAAAGAAACTCAAAGGTTGAAGCCCAACTGCCTTCCCTCGGATAACAAGTTTCAGAGCCCAAGAGTAAAGGAATATGTCGTCACGGAATCCGCACTTACATGATGATGGGGACTGCCCATCATGTTCCATCCCTACAACTGACGAGGAGCACCTTTCGACTTCGGGTCACTCGCAAAAAGGAGACTCAAACATGAGCTCTATCACGAATCAGTTGAAAAAAGAACGAAATGGGTTCGTGGAGTATCCCCCAAAGAACGCCGCCTCAAACACCACGCAACCTAACCCAACAGCAGCTTCAACACTCACGTACACACTGACGTGACGAAGCCACTTGCCAACTAAACAACCACTCACAACCAGCACCAAACTCCAGAAACCCTCAAAAACACCAAAAAAAACCGTGAATCAACCCATCCCAAGTCCAAACCAAAGAACCGCTGGCGAAACCTCCACGCTCAAACCACAGCACAACACCTCCTGAGACCATGCCCCACAACCCCACACCCCAGCGCAATCCTTCTTATTCCCCAATACAGCCTGCCGTCTCCAACGCCTTGTTGGCTAAGTGGTATAGCGCCTCACTAGTAATGAGGAGATCGGGTGTTCGATTCACCCACGAGGCACATAGCCTCCGACATCTCCGTCGGCCGACTCTTTTTGCATTTTCTCACCCATCCTCTTCACTTTTTTGCATCGCCATCCAGCATCTCCAAATGCACAACCAACCCACCACCGAGTTATTCGATGTTTGTTCACGCATTAAAACCTCCCTCCCTCCTTCCCTCGCTCCCCGGTCCAGCCTCACCCGTCACCTCCGTCTCCGAGCCGAACCCTCACCCCAGTCAACCTCCTGTCTCACCCCCAGCCAACAAGCTCCCATCCCTCCCGGGACACATCGCAATCACCCAAGCCACGCTCTTCAAAAAGGAGGCTCACAAGGGCCCGGCGCATTGTCTCTGCACCTCCCATATATACCCCTACCACCCGTAATTGAGACCGTTGAGCAAGACATTCACCGCGTACGAAAGAAGCAATACCTCGGCCCCCCTTTGCACCCATGTGGGACCTGATATTTCCTTCTCCCATCCCGATCGAGGCAGACTCCTGGTCCAGAACCCTCAGCCTCATCGCCGCCCAGCCCTCGGGACTCCCCGCCAGGAACCCGGATGGACCCCTGATCTTCACATCTGACATCACTCACCGCCAAAGGCAAGAAGCATGAACCCGAAATCATCACCAGAGTCTTTGACTGGTCTTATTTGACTCGAATCGATATTATACACATCGGCTCGTCATCATCTGCATGTTCCCCTTTTTCGTCTCCTCCGTCTTTCCGTCTTGATTCTTGGTCTTCTACTTGCGTCATCTGCTGATGGGCAAATCGCTCGCAAGGGTCGAAACTTCCTCCCCAAACCAAGCGCAGGCGAAAAAATCAGTTGTGGGCGCCTTCTTTTTGGACATCAAATCCCACTCGGCCCGCCCTTGTATGTTCCGTTCTTTATATGTAAAGTTGCTTTGGGGTATCTGTTGGTACACAAAAACGTGTGACAAAGGAAAACCGGTTTGTTTGCAGAAAATGAGCAGTCGCAGTGTTTCTACCCTCCCTTCTCGGGAGGAAAGATGATGCTTCGCCGATGATGTCGTTCCTTTCGTTAGAATGCCGAAAGGCCGAGTAGACACAAATGAGAAAATAGAAAACGCCTGGTTCCGACTAATCCTGTCTCCCGATGCAATGTTTGGTGATTTTGTGAAAGGAAAATGTTCCGTGAGTGGTGATGTTGTGCGATGCCGCCGCAACGTCCAGGCCGCGACGGGAGACCCGGTCTGCTTGAAAGATTATAATGTGTAGTTGGTATTGAAGGCGCTGTTATGAGCCCTCCGTCGGCAGCTCGATACCGCTATCGCGGTCCTGCGGCTCTTTGCTCCAATTTGGCGTGA